TTTTTTTTTTTTTTTTGTTTTTTCGGGTCTTGCTTCCGATATTCACAGCTGCTTCGCCTAAGTTTGCCACCTTACGTTGTGGAGTTTGTGTTTCTAACTCGCTCCCTTGTCTCCTGTTCTAACTGCTGTCCCCCGCTATCCGTCTGAAATGGAGAGAGCCCTTGTGGCTGCGCTGAGAGAGCCTGGCCTAATCCCTTCATTGAGAGAGGAGAAGAATGAAACAGGCCAGGGTGTGGGGGAGCTGGAGCGTTTATTCCCCATCCTTACCCCCCACTCCCCCACTCCCCACCCCGTCCATGGGAGGGCAGAAAGCCACCCCCTCACCAGCCTTCACCCCGTTGCCCACTTATCCCATTTCACTCCCAGCTGTGTGCAGTCAGTTGGTTCATAGTGTGGTTGTTGAAGTCCCTGTGATAACCATATATGTTTTACTTTAGCCCTTGTTCTTCTTCTCAAAATATCAAAGTTTGCCTGGATTCTTGTTAAACGCACGTCAGCTTTGATGCGTTTGGCCTGTGACTCAGTGGTGAAGTGTCTGAACGGTCATCAAGTTTATGGCTAAACAAATATACGTATAAAGATCAGATTATCTTTTGCGACGCCAACCGGTTGCAGGTTACACAGTCACTTGTTCACACCCAGTCCTGCATTTTGGGCTTCGAATCAGTGGGATCAATCTGCTTCTTTCAGGTTTTTAAAGAGGTGGAAGCTAAGTTCATACTGAAAGGAGGCGGATATCTCATTTTGCCTGAGCAGACTTGTAATGTCCAGGGTCGTGTTGAAACAATGGATTTTTGTTCTCATCTAAATCCCTTCGTTTTAAGTGTAGCTTCTGTAAAGGTTTATCGACCACAGGAAGCTGGTGGATTTGGCGTTTTTTCTTTTCTGCCTCTACACATGTTTTTTATATATTCCTAATGGAGATATTCTACAGAGTCAGAATCATCTAATGTCGTTGTTCCTTGTTTGAGAGGATCCCCTCAAGCAGCATAGTGTTTGGACCCTCAGCTATCAGGGGCTTGGAGTTGGTGTGTGTGTGTGGGGGGGGGTTTGGGTATTATCAAAATTTCTTGTCTTTAGTTGGTTCCCATCTCATCCAGAGAGCACATTCAGGGGAGCGAACTTTGGGATCTCACTTTGTTTATGGATAGGAGTACATAAAAGGCCTCTTATAGCTCTGTCGCTCACTCTCACTCAGTCTTCTACCCCTCCTCTTCTCTACTCCCATAGCTTCTCCCTCTCTCTTTCTTTCTCTTTTCCATTTGGGCATTGGGGCGGGGGCCTTTGGTCATTAATAAAATGGGGAGAGATGGGGAGTGTGTGTGTGTGTGTGTGTGTGTGTGTGGGGGGGGGGTGCTTGTCAGGCACAGTCAAGTGTAATCCAAAGTCTACAGCATCCTCTTCGACAACTATTTTAATGGAAATAGGGAACATATTGTATCAAGGCTACCATATCCTACTTGAAATGACAGTATCAAAAGTGGGAGTTGATACTATGGCAACAAAGCAGCTTTTTGCCAGCTAGACGAGTCGGAGAGAGGGTAGGCTGTCAGGCCGCAGGGGCCGGCAAGCGAGAGAACGGGTGTGAGAGTACATGGAGAGGCGAGAGCAAAAGACCTATAGCCCCAACGCTTTTGTTCCCTGTCTTTTTTCCCCCCCATTTTGGAATATGATGCAATGAGATGGTATTATGTTGCCATTTTTTATGCTATTATTCTGAAAGGAGAGCGTATGGGAGGGGTAAGAAGGGGGCATGGGGGAGGTTTAGGATGCGCACTCTCAAACTTGACTTAATCCATCCTGCTAAAAGCTAATGCATGGTGGCCTTGAACTGTTCTCTCAGGAGACGAGTGATCTTTGTCCCCTCTCTCTCTTTCTCGCTGTTTTTAAGGGTTCTGCCTCTTTTCAACCCATTTTCTATTAGCCTGAGGTATTGTGTCCCGCACATTATGAATCCCATGCTCTTCCTATGGAGCGTAGATTGCACCTTGCAAACTCATAATGGAAAAGGGAGGCTAGGAGGTCTACTTTGAAGGAGGTATATCTAGCTTTATGCTCCTTTTTTTTTTTTTTAAAGATTCAGAATTTTCTCTTTTTCACCTGCTTTTAGTATCCCCATTAATTCCTTATTTGTATGTTTATTCGGCTTCCTCCAACTTTGGAGATTTAATTTTTGTCCTTTTTTTTGACAACTTAAGTTTCTTTCACCTGCCTGTCCTTTCTCTCTTATCTTTCATTATATTCCTTGGGAAGCGAGAGAGGCAAAGTGTGCCTTTTTTTTTTTTTAGACAATTAATGAAATGCTAAGACCCGGCTGGTTGTAGGCTGGTCCCATGTCCCAATCACTGCAGGGGCCAGTAAGTTGAGACACCCAGGACCTAACCTCTAACCAGCCGTGAAGAGAACAGAGGCCAGGGAAACCTGATCTTTGACTCGTAGAGCTCTCACGCACCGCCTCCTTCTGTGTGTGTGTGTGTGAGAGAGACGGAAGGAGTGAGTGAGACCTCTCATTTTTCAGTTCTGTCGTTTTCGGTCCTCCCCTTGTCCTGCAAGGCCAATCTCTTAATCACAGGGTTTGAGAGGGAGAGAGGACTGAAAGGCCAGGTGACTTTCTTTTCTGCACTCTCACTGCTAACTTCATTGTGTGTGGAGATGATGAGTGGTCCGGGTTCGACTGCGTGTGTACAAACAGGCTCGAAAGCTTCGGGCTATTACATTTACATTGTTAACTGTGCTGGTCAAATCCTTCTACTTAACACCTGTGCATGCATACTTGGTGTACGTCAGTGTGTGCTTGCGCGTGGTTAAGTGTTTTCTGTGTGCACATGATGGGATTAGAGTCACGGCGGTGGCAGATTACCTGTAACTGTGATCTGTTGTGGTGGGGGATTAACTTTGCGGCGCTCCATGCTGTGAGGTAACATGACGCAGCAGGGACGGACCGCGGTGAGGGGAGAGTGGAGTTAATGCTAGAGCACTGGGGGTGATAAAGCTAAGATAATCCACTTCTCCTGTGACCTGAGAAAGAGGAGGAGTGAGGGGCTCATTGACAACTTCACCTGGAGAGAACTTGAAATAAGTGAGAAAGGGAAGTTTTCAGGGCTGGTGAGCGACATACAAACACAGTGGGAAAGAGGGAGTGCCAGTGTGTTTACAGACACCCATTTGATTGTCACTACAGTAAGGAAATACTCCTATTATTGCAACTGTCATCTTAACCAGGTTATTTCACCGACCTTAAGGCTCTAATCACAGGAAACGTGACCTTATTAAAAAGGAGCCGTGTTGGCCGGCTATTTTTTATAATGATTTTTTTTTTTGCATCTCTTTAGCAAAATCTGTTTTTTTGTTTGTGTTTTGATTCTGTGCACGCACCACAAAGGTCGCAGAGAGAACTGGATACGAAATGGTTTGTTTGTTTTTAGAAAAAGGGCTGCGAGGCTACTGGTTGTGACAAAAACAAAACCTGTGTCACGGGGTGAGAGTGACACAGCTAACACTGAAGTTGGGGACTAATTAACTAAGGGTTTTAAAAACCTGAACACATTTTGAAATCTCAAATTCATATAGTACTTTCTGTCTTACCTTTCCGTTTATCTGCCTCTCTCTTTCTCCTCTTTAGATGAAGATATGGCCGTCGGAACAGTTTTGGCCACGTTTTCAGGCCAGCAGATGCCCTGTAAACGTGTACGCTACTCCAGCGTCTTGGTGGCCACTTAGAGAAGTCTCCCCATCATCCACTTTGTCAATTACACATCCACTCTGTTCCTCCCATAAAGCAGCAATGTTTGGTCAAGATACTTACAAAATATCAAACAGACTTGAACTATTAGGGTGTCCTTGATCCTTCCTTGAAGCAGTTGCTGTTGTGAAAATACCATTTTATTCACTTGTAAGGACCATGACAATATTAAACACAGTTATTTTAAACCTAATTACTTCTTCCAGGTCTGTTTTTATACTGCCGTTGACTTCTTACTCTTCGCTCTCTTTAAGCGGCCGGTAGGGGCGAAGTATTCATCATTTTACAACATGTGTTACAACAAAGCAAAAAGGCATTCGGTTAGGCTAAGAAATGAGGCTTACCTAGTCTGTTACAGGCCACACTATGGCCTTTGTCGTGGCTCAAAAACAGACTGAATAGAAACCAAGTAATAGAAACACCTATCACTACTTTATTGTACATTTCAACAGTGCCACAAGTCCTCAAAAATAGCCATACAGTTAAATCAGCACCTCTCTTAAACAGTCTCAACAAAAAATGGAAGATTATAACAAATTTATTGCATTGACTGTTGCATCGGACTGCATTAGACTGTTTTAACTAGTTGTGCCAAATAAACTGACAACTGATTATATTTTGACATAAGCCCAGATTCTCTTTTAGTAATTTCTCTAGGTGAGATTTGTTTTACAGTCACATATTAAAATCAAAGGCATGTTGGTTGACGGTCAGCTCTCATTGTCATTTTAAACAATTTTTTTTATCAAACCAGTTTGCTCTTTCCCACCAAATCTGTGCAGGATCCATAATTTTGAAGACTAAGGAGAGTAGAGAGCAAATGGAGAAGAAAACGAATGCCTGTGTTTTCCCCATTGTAACACCATAAGAGGAGTCTCAAGGGCAGAAAATGTGACTTATTATCGCAGAGCAAGGGAAATAAAGAGGAAAAAGACTGAAAGGGAGAGACCATGAGAGCGAAAGGACCACTCCTGCTCTCCCTCCTCCTCAATTAGTCCTGCACAGACCAGATGAAGCTCCCAACCTCTCCAGTTTTTCTGCTCTTCCTTTATGACCACCTACACCCACTCCTTTCTCTTTTGTTCAGCCATTTACTCAGGCTTCTAGTTAACTCTGCATCCCCACTACTGCACACAGTCACAGTCGCCTGCTTATCGATCGGTCCGCTGCTCACACTGTATTCATGCTGCACCTTACTTGCTCAATTGCTTTGCTCTTGTGATTCCTTCTTCCATGAATTCTGACCTTCTGTGAATGTGGCCTGCCAATGAAATGCTCATTCACTCCCACCTTGTTTGTACATTGTCATGGGATGGCCATGTGCTGTCAGGACTAGTGAAGAGGTTTGGCATTGTGCTGTAATGTGCTGTTTGCTCAGTGTTCTCTGTCAATGTCGAAACATCTCCCCTTTTTAATATGAAATTCACTCTCAAGTGCTTGTCAACAGCAACTTAGAGTTACGCACACATCTGTGCATTGACATACACAAAAACGCGCACAAAATAAAATGGCAAAACATTCTGAGTGCAATAGACCTTGGTGAGCAAAACATAAGTGAACTTTTTTTTTTTGCCTGGAGGCCAGTTTGAATTTTTCTATTCAGTTTGGTTCAGTTTTGAAGGAGTCTTTGTTTTTTTTGTTCTTTCTCCTCCTTTTTTCCTTCAATAAAGTCAGAGTAGATAACACAAGGCTATGCCCAAAACCAATGCAATAAAACCTTTCACTCTGTCTTTTCCTGAAGTTGGCACTGTCTCTACCAATTTCTATTCATCATTTTTTGCTATTTATACCATTCCCACAGGAAGTATAACCCCTAATTGTTTGGTAGCTGTAGCCACTTGTAGTAGTCTGTTAAAAGTCTATATTTTGGCATTTCAAAAATGAGGTCCAGTGTGTAGTGTTTACAAGGATCTATAGGCAGAAATGGAATATAATATTCATAGGTATGTTTTCGTTAGCGTACAATCACCTGAAAATAAGAATCGCTGTGTTTATGTTACCTCAGAATGAGCCGTTTTGTCTACAGGGAGCGGTTCCTCCTTTAAATTGAACCACATAGTCTCTACAGTAGCCCAGAATGGACAAACCAAATAATAGCTTTAGGGCCTTTTGCATTTTTCATGAGTTTTTTCAGCCATCCATAGTGTCTCCGACATAGAAAGTGACAGTGAGGTGAGGGGGTTGTAATCTGTTGTAATCTAGATGGCACTAAATCCTACATACTGGTCCTTTATCATGTATATTGTGTTGTGTAGTCCATCAGGTAACTATAGCAACAATACTGAAACATTACCAGTGAAGTCTCAGGTGAAACGAACCGTCCAGTGTGTTTGAAATAATGGAGTCAGTTCCCATGATTCGAAGGGAAATGGTGATGTAACTAATGATCTTTCATTATCGATTAAACTTGCAATGGTTTTCTCAATCAAACAATTAATTAATCGTTCAGTCTATAAAATGTCAGAAAATGGTGCCCATCACAACTTACCAAAACACAAGGTTATGTGTTGTTATGTTACTGATTCATTTATGAGGGATTGAAGAATTAGTTGTTTCAGCTCTTAAGGGAAGTATGAGTTATTTTACTGCAATGAATTGTGATTTAGTCACGGAACAAATAAAATAATAGCTAGATTAATTATTCATTCATCAAGCAAAAATGCCCCAAATTGTCTGTTTTCAGATTTTCGTATGTGAGGATTTGCCACATTTCTCTTTGTTACTTCATTGAAATGAACTTTATTTGTGTTTAAGACATTTGGTTAGACAAAACCCAACAGACAAAACAATCAGAAAAGAATAGTTAGATTAATCAATAATGAAAATTCTATATAATATAATAGTTGCAGCTCAACATTATCACACTACAGGAGATGAACGTGGAACACTTTAGCACAGGCTAAACATGGGTCCACAGAAAGAAAGACAATCTCAGTCATTTCTTGAAAAAAGATTTTTCCCATTTGTGTAACAACTGTAAGAGTTTTCCTCAGTAAACCAAGGCAGCACCTAAAAAAAGACACATGTAAAAGTTTTCCTCCTATGTGTGTGTTTGTGTCCACAGACCAACCTACCCATCTTCAAGCTGAAGGAGTCTTCTGTACGGAGGCGGTACAGCGACTTTGAGTGGCTCAGAGCGGAGCTGGAGAGGGAGAGCAAGGTGAGCCATTGAGGTGAACTCAAGACAAAGGCTCTTGAGTACTTGGCTTATAAAATCAGTACAACATTTTCCACATCTGCAGCGTTTTTGTATGCGAGAGAAAGTTGGTAAAAATATATTTTAATCCTTTGCCGTTTGTTAAGAAAGATTCCACCTAGACGTGGTTTGTGTTCTTTGTCCTGCAATTAATGAGGACCATAAACTATCTGGTTTTTAGCCTCATAAATGACGTATAAAAATGTTGTTACCAGATCGTACAATACACTGTTACTACAAGGTCATATTTGTCTTTTTAAAAACATTTTACTTACTTTACTTAATTGTAAGCGCTAAAATCTTGTTTATCTGCTGCTGTGTGATTTTCTGTGCATGCTCTTTTATCACAGGTGGTCGTCCCTCCTCTCCCAGGAAAAGCTCTTTTCCGACAGCTTCCGTTTCGAGGGGACGATGGGATATTTGATGACTCTTTCATCGAGGAGCGGAGACAGGGTCTGGAGCAGTTTCTTAACAAGTAAGCCATTCCACATCTTCTCCGTCTGTCTCTGTTCTTCCACTACTCTGCCATGGGGTTAAAACAATTTATTCTTTACAATTTTTTTCTTTGTCGTCGCAGTCGTTAGCAGCTTCTGCCTTAGCGTGGTATTATTTTAACTCTCAAGAACAATGAAACACTTTGTGCAATAAGTAGATTCAACTTTTTCACTTCTCTTCACATTGTTAACAAACTGAACCCGCAGAGACAGACAGGTCTTTTTCTCACTATCCTTCTTAATTCTCTTTCATAATTACCTTGCAAAGGACAAGAACAACCAAGGAGGACTCAAGTGGGCACCCCCACAACATAATTTTTCCCACATTTGTTTTATTGTTGATGTGTAATTTATGATAATTGCAGCTCAAATTACAGCGCGTGGTTCTGTGGGATGGTGTGTGCACCTCTGCTTATTTTTGATCCAGCATGTCCCCATTTTCAGCTGCTGAACAATAAAAGTTACAGTGTGATTGTAATTATTTGCTTTGATTGCAGACTTGGCCATTATCTTTGTTTCATGTGCAAATTCATCAATGTTTCCTGTTGGAATATTAAGTGCGCAAAGACAGTTGAGAAAATTAAAATCCATAAATATGTTTTTTAAAGAAGATGAGAATGTGTTAGTAATTAAGATTTTACCCCCCCCCCCCTCCCTTGCTTCCTATGAATGAAACACTGCTGTTGATCATATCATTGTTCAGACTTAATCCTGGCCGATGTGGCTGGTAGCATTGTTTAATCTGTGATTGAGAGCATTGTGAAGAGCAAATCTTTTGGAATGGTAAACATGATTGTCGCTGCGAAACAAGTGAGAAGGAGGAGAGGAGATAACCATTACTTTTTGATTAGGCTAGTCAAACATAATTCATGCTTCAGGTAGAAAAAAGAAGGGCTTACATCCCCACTTCAGAAATCAAGCAAGGCCTTGAGATTTGAACATGCTTCTGCTGCACCTTGTCCTCAATGTCAACATTTCCAAAAACCTATTAAACTGGGTTTGTTGGGGGCAAGCTTGATCTCTCCAGTGATTGTCCTGGTAGTTGACCTGTGGATGCCCGGGCGGCTTAATTTGTCCAAAATATTTCCCATTAGAGGTTAAGATGCTTGCATAGGTTCAATGTCATCATGTTGATCTGGTCTGACAAATTTACCATTTTGAAAAATAAAATGTTTAGGGGTCTCAGGTGCGCTGGCTTATTCTCGTTAAGCTGCTTTGCGTCATCTGAAGGGACATTTGGGGAAGCCTGATGTCAGAGTGGCTTTAACAGAGGAAAACACAGTCCTAAATACAGATTAATTTAGGTAAATCATACCAGGATATAAAGACATATGTTTAGGGGGGAAACACAATCACCAAAACCCCAAGAAAAACCTGATCTACCTTAACTCACGGTAAGATAACACACTTGGTTTTGCAAAATGTTAGGTGAGACATGTCATCTGTTACTAATTTACTGGTTGTTAAAGCTCTTACAGCTCTTATATGTGTCTTTTATTCTTAAGACTTTGAGGTGAGAGAAAGAAAAATCATTACTACTGCTAGACAGTAATAAGAGCTTATGACTACAACCACATCCATAAACAAATATGTGTAAAGGTTATATTAAATGCGCAGTAATTATGTGGTTATGTGGCTGACATAAAGAGTTAATAGACATCGCTATACAGTTGTCCATCTACTGCCAGTCAGTATATGTCATCAGTTTTCAAAATGTCATTAAGCCTCTTCATCAGTGACACAAGGGCTTAGACCATAATGCAGAGTTTTATCTACATCACCATTAACTTTGTATTCACATTTTGTATCATTATAGCCTAGTAGTTAAGAAATGAATAACATTTAATCGCAACATCCCCTGTCTTTCTGGAGACGTTCTTTGCATATTTACTCTAAGCAGATTTTGAGTTTGTTGTGTCTTCACATTGGAAAAGTAACAACATAAAGTATACTCACTTTCTGTATGTTTACTAAAAAACCCCTAGATTAGTTTTTCTTCCATTTAGCAGTGTGTGCCTTTTTAATTTTAGAGACAGTAGAGAGATGACAGGAAGTGAGAGATGACTTACAACGATGGTCCCCATCTTGAGTCCGACAGCTGACGTTGCAGTTCAATCTTGGTCACTTTGAACCCAGAAGCTAACAGGATGCTGCAAACCCTTAATGTGTGCACACACTATTGTCACTATTCCTCACAATGTTTTGTATATAGAAAAGGGTGAAAATTACAACTTATTGTGGATGTTGGTGAAACGGCTCCAGGAACACCTCAGAAAAATAACTTTGGAAAAACATTAATTGACAGGGGCATTTTAGAGCCGCAGTTTGATAAGTAGTTTATCATTTTCTTTTCATATAAAACACTGCATGTTCAGTTATTGTATACTAACTGCAGTATGCTATAACAAAAAGTATAAAGTACATATGGTAAACAGTTGGTATGTAGCATGAAATTGGGACACAGCATATATGTACACTTTCAGCTATGAAATAAAGGCCAAAGAAGAAGTGAGGGGTGAAGAGTGTCATGTTTTACATAATGTTTGCTTGATATGACAGGAGGGCACTGGGCACAACTTGTTGCTTCCACCAGAGCTAATGTTGTAAATTAGGTATGTAGTGTGAAGGATTAAAACATTGCAAGATGTTTGAGATGGTTGTTTAATTGTGAAGCTTTTGGACATTAAGAAATTAAACATTTATAGAGTGTGACATTTGTTATTACTGCTTTCCTTTTCTTTTGTCTCTTTTTTTAACTTCAGTATTTAAACCCACTTACAGAGGTGGTAACTCCTACATGTTCACACTTCAACAGTGGTAATGTTAACTGACCTCTTGTGTCACTTCCAGCACGTTACAAATCATTCCTTACTCAGTTTTTTTCCACTTTGGTCATTCATGCCAAATCCATTCCAGGTTTCTTACCTCAAAGTTAGACCAATACTCCCGTCAGTCTCTGCCCTTTCTGTCCGTCTATGTGTGTCTTTGTGTCCAAAGGTGCGTTCACGTCTCTGTTACCTCCACGTCATCAAGCCTTGTCTTTTTGCTCTTGTGTGTTTCAGAGTGGCCGGTCACCCTCTAGCTCAGAACGAACGATGCCTTCACATGTTTCTACAGGACGAGTCTGTGGACAAGAGCTACACCCCATCCAAAATCAGACAAGCCTGAAAGAAAAGACGGCTCTGCTTGGCCTGGTCTAGCTCGGCCCTGCCCAGCTCAGCCCGACAACCCAAAGCTTTCTTCACTGCTCCAGGTTTCTCTCAGACAATAAACATTTCAATGAAAACTCCCCCCTCCCCCCCTCCCCCCCAAAGTTATATTGTTCACTGCCTCTTTTAGTTCAATTAGTGACCCTGATCTGTGTTTGTTTTCACCTTCTAATTGGAGTCAAGAATGTTCGACACATAACTGTGGTTCAAAGTAATTTATAGTAATTTCTCTTTATGTCTGGAAATGCCACTAACATGGATATATTATGTATTTATCTTTAACTATGTCTTGAATATATTCATTTATATAGTAACATTGGATGAGCGTTTTATGTATGCAAAGCTCTCGTAAAGACCCACAGCGTTTTCCATCATATATATATATATATATATATATCCAATACTGGCATGTTGCTCACCATAACTATGTTGCAACTAAGCACACACACATCCACACACACACACACACACACACACGTGCACATATATTTGATGGGCCTTGACTTACAAATCACACTTAGTTGATCCTGTCTTCAAAAGGAAAGACGTGTGTGTGTATATCAACCAGCACCTGCCCAGTTAACGCAATGATTTTCTAGCAAGAAAGAAGTAATTTACACAGAGGGAACTGCAGTATTTCTACTGGCTATATGCATTTCGAGATTTGTATACTGCTGTGCCATTTTTGTTTATTTTGAAAATTTTCCAATAAAATAGGTGAAATGTCTCCACGCATAATTACATTTGATGATTTGGACTGTTGACCTTTCAAGCTGCACCAACCATTACAGCTATCCTATATTTATTATTACATTTATGATTCAATAAATAGCTAATCTATCAGCTTCATTACATAAACATTTAGACCTATGGCTAATCAGAGAGTTTTTTTTTTATACAGTCCTGAGTTTTATTTAGATTAGAGCAGGCTACTTCTACAGGGAAATGGGTAGCACTTCATAGTAAGGGTGAAAAAGCACATGCTTAAGTAATGCATTACCAATGTATGACTTGTAATCAGTTAATGCATGAATTAATACAGGATGTATCATGAAGATAAAGTCACTGAGTTTATTTAATTAGTTAAAGCTTAATAGCTCATCAATAAATTATTTATTCACAGTTAGCTCATACATTTATTTATATGTCACCAAATGACCTTGAATCCAGTTAAATAGAAACTGGTATTTTGGATCTATGCATTCAATAAGCATCCAAGTACCTCTTTATTTTCAAATTAGTATTACAACACGACTTTACTTGAAGGGACACATGTCAACCAGGTAACTTGTAATAATAGCTGTGGTCGCTTTATTTGGGAGGCCAGTGGCCATTCTGTTATATTAAACATGTCTGTCTGTTTAGGTGCCATCTCAAACTTACAAATGTGATATAAATGAGGACTTTTAATGTAACTGAATTCCTGCAAATATAGTGGCATTGAAATTAAAGTAGAAATTATTTTTTAAATGAACAATTAATGATCCATAAAGTGGTAACAAATCACATAAACTCACAGTGATTTCATGTCTTAATGGTGAGCAACATGAATTCCTGCTATAGCCAACATTAAATCATCATGAGTCGTACATTAGTTACTTAAGCACGTGTTCTTTATCCTTCTGTCACTGAGAAATCTTTTGAAATTGAACTTTACATTGATAATAAAATCAGATCTGAGAAGAGCATCACCATTATTTGCAATGATGTGTATTATAAACAAGTTTCAAAACTGCAGCAGGTAGTTTTATATCTACTGTAGGTTATTTGAATACAGATTAATTCAGTGTCTTTTATTCTCTCGGTTACAACTCTAAATAGTTATAACTCCAAATATTTACAACAGAATAAAAACATCACAGGCCACAAAAAACATTTCCAAGTGCTGAATATTTTATCCAGTGTTAGTGTCTAACTTCACAAAGTCGACCTAAACATTTTTAATGCTGCGCCTCAAACAGGACACACCAACACAAACAGGACAGTAACCACTTAAATACAAACACCATCTTCAGATGAATGTAGTTTTACAGTCAGGAGGCAGTGCAAGCGTATGCTTTGAAAGTCTTTCCCCCCCCCACCACCCTAATTCTTCATAGAGTTGGCACCTCTTCTTCGTTGCCCCGTGCGTTTGGTTTCAGCACCGGATCGAGGGACAGCGATTCACATCCCCCATTACGCATGCATCATCTTTTTTGGTTTCCTCCATTGGGATTGAACACAGCAATAAAAGACTGAATTGGTCGTCAAGCTCATTGGTCTCACAGACACTCGAAAAAAACTTCTTAATATATAACATTTCTTTGTCAGACATACTTGGCGGGTGTTCTACAGAGTCTTTAGGCGATTTTTAAACATTGTAGGCTGTCTGTGCCCACACCAGAGATTGCAGTTTTTCAGAATCATACAGGTAATTCTATAATGAAAGTTACAGGCTATTCCTTAACTAGAGCAACTGTTAACTGACTACTTGGTGAATTCCTGCTGTGTAGCAGTCTTTGTTTCAATGGAGCCTAGGCCTAAATAGGCTATTTTAAGACGGCCTAAGAGATTTTGTGCTCAGAAAAAAAAGATTCATCCCATGGTTACACCTGCTATGATTTGACATTCTGTCGACTGCTGGGTGGGTCTCTGGGCATTCAGCTCAAGTCTTTTCCATGCGCCTGGACAGATGACAAGAACTCATATATCGCTGGACTTGTACATATCGGAGAGGAGCCTGGTGATGGGCACGTTGCCGATGGTCTTCTTGAAGAACACCTCCTCTATGGTGGACGGGCCGACCGAGCGGAGCGCCGGCAGGAGCAGGAGCAGCTTTCCGAAGCGACAGGGCTGAGTTGGGTACCTGAAAAGAAATCACTGGGAGTCAAAAACAACATCTTTCTGCGATTCTATATGCAGACGGTCTGCTGCAACCTATTCAATTAACGCACACCTGTGACAAGTAGCTGCTAATTAAAAATGAGGTTCAACTGTTGCACCTGTGAACAATTACAGAAGACTACAGTGGCTTATTGCCTCATTAACTTTATAATGAATCTGGCTGCTAATTACCTGCAGGAGATGGTGCAAAATGCATGAGCTTATGGTAGATAGACTGACTGAGTTGAATCTTACCTGGTGTGTATGTAACTGTTGAGAGTGAGCTGTGCCTCGTCTTGTAGTGCAGCAATGGCGCTGGCATTGCGGAAACTTCTTAACTCAGTGTTGCCATGTGTAGGAACTGTAAAACAAAGGCAGGGTTTTAACAGTTAAAAAAGGTGGTGTGATGTATAAATGATGACATACTAGTAATTGAGCTGCTGAATTCTCTTTTTTTTTATTCCCCTTCCCTTTCCAGAATTGGGTTTAGGTCACAGCTTGAGTTTGCTCAAATAATGGCTTTTGGTACTTAGAACTCCCCTTTGGTTAAATGAGAATACTGTGAAGTACATAGTGAGATAATAATACTGACCAGCTTTGAACGTCACGATGCATTTCAAACAGGCAAACTCTGTTGCATCAAGGCGCATCTGTCTGAATCTGGTGACCACCTCTTGAAGTGCTTGTATCTCAGACATGATCTTATTCATCCGCTGAGACTCTGTGTTTTCAGTGTTCATTCCTGTGAAGAAATGTGGAGAGAATGTCTTAACACTGCAGCAGTATGCAGACATTGACTGGACTGTGCTAACACATTTACATCTGCAGCTCATGAGGCCTGTTAGTGGCCTGTATTCAGATAAGCTCTCTCATGCCTTGTTACATACCAGAAACAGCAAGAAGAGTAGTGGAGTCCACAGGAATGGCCCATTGTGCGATGCCCAGAACAAATAATTCCCTCCAGGCGTCCTCCAGCAGAATCAGCTGCAAAGAGCAATTGTTTCAGTGTTAAACTGTGCACCACAATGCACCAATGATTTATTCTATTTTAAGCCCTTTTGACTCTTATTAAACAGAAGTACATTAGTAACCTCTGCATAAAACATACGCATAAAATTCCTCTCCTAACAGTTTCCCTTGACTGCTGCTCATTTTCAAAAGGCCCCTGCGGGATAATATTTGGACTCCTTGTTTAAAACTCTTAAACTTCAGCCCATCAATCCAAGTACCTGGTCAGATAAAGGGAGGGTGGAGAATGCGGGAACACTTTTTGCCCACTTGATGCTCATGAAAAGGAGGCGCGCCGCTGACTCGCACACAGACTCCGTCGCCACCTCATAGAGGTACATGGGGGTGCCGCTTACTTCATGGGGATACTGGAGGGAGAGAAAGAGATCATCGCAGTCATGTATCAGTCTGTGTTATAATGAAACCGTTCCGAGAATGGGGAACAACAAAGGTCAAATTCCAAGCCCCAGCACCTGATTTTATAATTATTAGTGTTGCTTGTGGGGGATTTACAGTGAGAAATCTAATAGGCGGATTTGTGGCTCCAAATCGGGACAAGAATTTCAACTTCTAACCCTTACGAAAAAAAAAAAAAAAAAAAGTAATCCTATAATAACATTTAGGAAGGCTATAATACAAATATCCACGGAATATCGTAAACTATTAAAAGAAGTGTATATTCTGATCATTCTAGATTTTAAAAATGACATTGAAATGCTATAAATGGCCAGTAAAGAACAAACAGAATATAGAGTGATCAGTAAAAAAAAAAACAATTTATAATCCAAGTAGCCTAAATCAAATCCTAGGCTTTAAAGAAATATATATTTTTAAATACATTGCAAGATATACCTTAGGGGTGGGCTGTGCCAGACCCACGATGGCTTGTCTCTCCGGTGTGGTGGCTACTGTGCCCATCTCCAGGTTGTGAGGCTCCAGTTGCGTGACCGTGGTAAAGAAGGGAGGGCCGGGCAGGGAGGATCCCGGGAAGTGGGTCGATGATCCGTTCACCTCTTTGTGGCCCCGGAAATATAGGGCGACCTGTTTGCGAATGGTGGACGTCCGCGGCCCCCGCTCGTGTTGAACGGCTGTGAAACGGGACAGCAGGGACACAGAGTTAGGGGACAGGAGGGAGTTATTTATCTCACTACCAGTTTATTTTTTTATTGCGCTGAACTAACTGGTCCTAAAATTAAGGACTCAAAGAGCACATTTTGTTTGTGCGACAGACAAAATAATTGGCTTCAATGAGCTGTAATCTATGAATGCTCCCACACAGTATAAATAATATCCCCTTTAAAATAAATAAAGAGTAGATAATTATCAACCCGTTTTATCTTTTGAGGGTCGATTAACAGCCTCAATACAGTTTCTCATCCGAGCTGCCCACCTCCAACCCAAACACCACTACATGGCGTGCCTATGGCCAACGTGATAATTCAATTAAGCCCATTTACCGTCTTTATTCATGTTCACTTCCAGACACTTTTTCAAACGGCACGCTCGGCATTGGTTTCTGTGAGTTTTGTCGACGGGACAGCCGCCCTGTACAGAGAGAAAGACAGGGAGAGAAAGACAGTTACAGCCTTCAGTTGAATTTATCTCAGTTTGCACGGCAGGGGCTTGTTGCTATTATCTTCCTGGGAGGCCCATCCCCAGGTGAGAGATCGTGCTATTGTCGTGTAGTTATCGACCTGCTCCCCTGCGGCTCCAGTGCGGCCTCATCCCGGAGGATAAGTACTCTATCCCGCCCTCTGCTGCCTAAATCCTCGCCTTGGAGTCATCACATTAGATTGGATTACACCTGCTACATTATAGCAGCGCGGTGTTTAGCCCAATACTTAATGGTAGAGGCATGACACAATTAGGCTCATCAAGGGAGACTTAACACAGCTCCAACAGGGAAAAGCAAATAGAATCTGCGCGTAAAAAGCGCACTCCCTGCGTAAAGCTGTTAATGGTTTTTGGATGAGGACCAGGTACGTCGTGTCACTTAAATCCTGCTTCTAATAACACTTAGAGCACAAATCTCTCTTGGGACAAGTGCTGTAACTGTAGTTTGCTGATGAGATATTATTGAGAGCACGTGACAGATTATTAGGCTCAGATGACTGCGAATGGAAAAGCTTCCCATTCCTTTTTCTGTGATTGCTTGTGTCTCCAACTTGCTCGATTCTCCACAAAATAAATGATGCAAAAACGACATGATTAAAAATGTATACTCTTACAGAGGCTGCATCTTAGCCACTGGAGGCCTGTGTGAAAACGAGCATATAGGACTTAAACGTGGATATATAAGAAATAAGGACGAGGCCTCACCTGAGAGCCAGATTTACAGACGTAGGTCCTGTTCCTGCGGATGCTCCTCTTGAAGAATCCCGAGCAGCCGTCACAGGCGTAAACACCATAATGCTTCCCTGAGCTGCGGTCGCCGCACACTTTGCATGGAATGTCCAGAATCCGACCTGAGAAAGGCCCACATTTCAGTTAGACACCGCTCACAGAATCACTAGAGAGCCACTCGACTCAATTTTAAATGAATAAAAAGGCATGGCAAATTGTGACCATTGCTTATCGTTGTCATGAATATTGAAGAAGTGGATAAATTCCAAGAACTAATTCCAAAGTTGACACAAACTTGGAAAATAAGCTTATAGCTTTAAAAAAAAGTATTTGCACTTTAGTAATGTAATTAAGTTAAGTGAGTTTCAGGTTGTCTGCTTGAGTTGGCACTGTGTTCGTACAGTAAATGCCAAAAATGAACTCATTTTGCACTGTGGAGGCTGTGGACAAATCGTCCTACAAATTACTTGTTTTTTTGTCCGACAACCCCACAAAACACAGAAACACACACACACACACACACACACACTGGACAGCGCCCCGCACCTCGACCGTCCATGGGAATTCACGGCGCACATTTCAAGAATAAAGTCCGGTGGGAAGCGTCATATCTGAGCTCTCTAAGACAATGGCCTGAGGGTGCACAATGGAGACATTAGGGGAAAGTGTTAACTTAATGATTTTCCCCCATTGAACCTCGTCTGACTGCCTGGATCTCGACAAGCTGCCAACTCCCCTTCATAATGGGACTCGACAGCTGCTTTATCCCGCAGGTCTATAGGCCTCAGGATTAGGGAGTGACACTGCACCATGAGAATAATGCGCACCAACTCGTTTCACCAACTCAAATGAAGTGTATGTAAATCGACCCCGGTGTAGATGAAAAAAATTTGATTTTTTTTGTGAAGATTTTGTATTCAAATCTATAGAAGTATATTTGTATGCATATGAGGGAGTCTTTTTTCATTCTGGAGGGAAAAGCCGTCTATGTAATTACACTGACGTTTTGCCACCTGCTCATTGATTCTCCACTGACCCGTCAAAAAGGGTAGCATGGGAATAACCACTGAGCAGCAAAAACAATGACTTCAGGAGAGAGTTATAGGGTTCCAATTGCCAGATTATTAAGAATCAGAAGGACATGTTGGCTATTTAACTGTTGGCCACAGCCGTGTAATTGCCATAAAATAGAGAGAGAACCAACGTTTTATGTAGCATTTATGTCTGCTAAGAGTTTCTCTATAAGGCCTTAAAGTCATTTTCTGATCACGGGAGTAATTTAAATAGAAAAAACAACCTGCTATGAAGTTATATCCCCAATTTCTAATTATCTATAGGCCAGGTAGAATCTAGATTTTTTTTTTTTTTTCTTTTTTTTTTTACTTAAAAATGTTGACTGTATTAATTGGACTCACTCACTGATTACCATATATTTAATAAACCACATTTAAGCAAGTCAAGTTCATTTGCACTCCCAAAATAAAAGTTTTAAGTGATTTAAGTGCGCAGAATTTCAACAAGATAAGCTCAAACTAATATAAAACTGTATATTGCTGAGTCAATTAAATAAAATGACGAACAATTTTGTTGTGAATGGGGGAAATGTATTTAACTTCCCGCTGTGGGGGTCCAATTCGTCTCCATTGTGTGGAGTAATTGCTTGAGGATATATGGCATATTCTATTAACGTAATCACCATCAAGGCGAAAACCTGCTAAAAGAACTGGAAATGAAGTTTTACAGGAAATGTCTCTGCTGACCACCCATAATGTGAACTTGAATGAGAGAAGACGTTCTGTGTGTTGCTTTATTCTAATTTAAAAACAGGTCGGTTGTGTACAGCAATTTAAATACATTTGAGGCACCTGAGGTACTACACACAACAGAAGCAACAGTTTGACATGAATAACTCATATTCGGAAATGGTGAACCATACTGAAAGAAACACACAGGCGAAATGTAAATTTAACAGAAGTGTTATATCTTTTAAAACAGAGCAATAACATACTTTGTGCCAAAATTATAACTGTGATTTAATTTCTATTGGTTATGAGGCTTGTGTATATGAGGAAAAAAATACACACCCATTCCAATTTAATCTAAAAACCTTAAACCACGAGAAAATCTCCAACACCAAAGGAAAAATACTCGACAATTTAATTTAAAATCACTCAATACACTCATGATTAATTATATAAATTAACGTTTTTCTGCAGTAGTACAGAAACGCGCGCACGCAGGCACATAAAACAGATTTTAAAGGGCTGGAATAATTTGTCTAAAAGGGCAGAACAATAAGAGAAGAATCTCTTACACGAGCTTTAAAAATCATATCATTGCTAGATAAATATCTCGCCGTTCGTTTATAGCATTATCACTATTTTAAGGACATTGCTGAAAATGAAATTACAGGCAACAAGTGGCACCAAGTGGGACGCAGGAGGATTATTCGGAGCGTGGATGGTCACTTCTTTACCTCTCAACTTTACAAAAAATATATATATTTCTTAAGAGATGTCTTTCCAATCAGGCCGAGGACGTGATAATTATCAGCCACGACACAAGTTTACGCAGCCAACTGTGTGTGTGTGTGTGTGTGTGTATGTGTGCGTGCGTGTGTGTGTGTGTGTACTCGGAAAAAGGACACGACAGCTATTCCCCACGGATCACTACTCACATTTTTGTAAGACCATGAGGAATCAACTGACTTAATTATTGTATTGAAGCTCCGATGACATGCACAATATCAAGCCGTGGAAGTAACCATACAACAGTTCTTTTTCTTTTTACACTCCATGCCAGAGAAAGGCCAGATATAGACGACTTATTCTAACACACAGTGCTACTCTATATTGTCCAGAAGCGACACTTACTTGATTTGACATTCAGAATATCCAGACAGCCACTTGTTGAGCCGGCGGGTTTGCTCATCATGGATACTTGACTTAATAATAAAGTTCAGAACGAAAATAAAACAGGGGGTCCTCTTTATCTTCTTATTCTTGCTGACAAAAACAATGAAAAAAAGCGTGAAACCACAGCACTTTCCTTTGGGGGTCTTTACCAGCAGCGATGAGATCGGCAAGTCAACGTCCCGAGTTGCCCAACTTGACAGATCTCCGATCGACGAAGCCCAAATTTAAGACACAGTACGGTTGTACATTATATCAGACAAATCTTCGCCTCCGATGTGCAGGGTCGGAGAGCCGGACTTGCAGCGCCCCCGGGACAGCGACCGGTTAGCGGCGACGGCAACGCTCCAGCCGGTGCATAAAGTTGGAGTTGGAAAAACGCTGCCTGGAGCGCATCCGACTGTGTCAGCCCGGTGGGAAAGAAAAAACGAAAAAAGAAAACAAAAATCAATTTTCGGCTATTCTGACAGATGAACGCTTGTTAAAACCAGGACACGATGTGACTTTGTGGTGCGAGTTCCTCAAATAAGCCTTGGTAATATTTATGAGAAGTGTCAGGGGTAGGCTGGAGGGTGGAGATCTCCACTTCCTTCATCCACTTGGCTTTCTACTCCAAACTCCAGCCTGACGTCACTGGCGTGTGAGGGAGTGTGTGTGTGTGTGTTTGTGTGTTGTGGTGGTGCTGTGGTGTGTGGGAGAGACGACGGAGAGAGAGAGAGAGACTGAACGTGTGAATGTGTGTGCAAGCGATGTGAAGTGCCTTGCTCATGGATCAAGAGACATTGCAAACAAAAAACACGTGTTGCATGCATGTTTTCTGCAACATTTGCATTTGTTTTAGCTCTGGATTCGTTTATTTTAGGTGTATCATGGGAGTACTTCTCTTGTAGTCCCACGATACACCTGAGAACATAATTCAACATATAATCATATTCGAAAAATAAAAAATATATATAACAAAATCTGACCTTACTCTCTGCATGGAGCGGAATTTGAGACGGTGCTGCAGGAAACTGGCAGTTATGTAAAGAATATCAGAACTGCTGAGGTAGGCTGTGTTGTTCGACCACTGAGAGGTTACTATATGCGGGGGGAGGGGAGTTTTAAGGGGCTCAGACATAAAACACTGTCATGCTCCTCATTTCCTACACACACAAGCACAAAAACAATTGTGTCTGGTTACGCATGCAGTCCTTATGATTCAATGATAAGTGCTTGGGGCCCACTGTAGACATTGATCATTCAGAGCAACTGATACACAGCTGAACTAGAAATTGTATTGATTTAATATTTGTTATATTATCACATATTAGAAACGCCAAAGAAGAAAAGCATTTAGACTTATTGCAATATTCTAGAAATAATGTGTGTTTTTTTATGTTGTTGCACATAAGTTACTTGTCTTTCTTTTGTTAAAGGCTTATTTTAATGTCACGTTGAGCCTCCCCCACTGATCACAGGTTTTTTTTTTTATCCTGTTGCAGGTGTTTTTAACTAGGCTGTTATTTGGGTTTATTTATCTGTGTTCATTCAAAGGGTTTTCCATCGATTGATTAATGTGGTCAATCTGAAGTTAGAGCTCGTTAGCTGGAGAGTATACAGACAGAGTATTGCCACCCTGCACTGTGAAGCAAAAACAAGTCTGCTGGATTGTGATATAATGATGAATACCTGGCTAATTTTAACCAATGTAGCTTTTAGAAACAACGTATAGATACATACAAACAAACATAAATTATATAAATTGTATTATATCTATAAAACATATTTTATTTAATCTGAGTTCTTACTTTTCAAACATTTGAGCGCCTTATTATTCACTACTATCCTGCATTTATACTATAATACCACACTGTTGTTTCTCCTCACACTCACTTTCACACCAAACAGATAAAAACTACAGTTGCACCAAATCTTGTCCTGAAATCTCACTTTAATAATAAACTGCAATTATAAAAAATCGATACAATATATCTTTCACTCTCTTATGCCCTCAAATTTGGCTAATTAATTAATTTACCATCTTCACCTAGTGGGTAAGCTGGTTTAAAGTTCCTCCTGTCACCCCCTGCAGTCAGTGATCAGAATTTGGACACCGGGGCGCGAACCGTGCCCGGCCGTCCGGTGGGTCGTGGTCTGGCTGCAGGCCCCCAACTCACTCACACCCTGACCTTGACAGCTTGCTGTGCTTTCGCCGGGTAACTCCAGAA